CAACTGAGATGGATTTGTTGGCGAGGGTTTCCTTATAGATACATTCCAAACAACTTTCATTTGGAAAATGTAATTGCAATTGTTTTCAAGCATAGTCGTCTCCAACTCGTCTGGGAACAACGCGTGGTATTAATTACATGCCCTTTTCTCTTAAAACTAATTGTTTATAACTATTGCACTTTATATCTTTCCTAATCTTTTGTCGAAAAACTATGGTTGCAGGTTTTAGAGCGGTTAAAATTCCTTAATCTTAGTCACTCCAAGTTCTTGAGAGAAACACCTGACTTTTCAGGATTACCAAATCTTGAACAGCTTATTCTAAAAGATTGCCCGAGTTTGCGCAAGGTACACCATTCCATTGGTGATCTCTCCAATATACTAGTAATAAATTTGAAGGATTGCAGAAGTCTAAGATTTCTCCCAAGAGAGATATATAAGTTGAGATCTTTAAAAACTCTCATCCTATCTGGTTGTTCGAAGCTTAGGCCATTGGAAATGATATAATGCAAGTGGAATCCTTTTTAACTATAATTGCTGAGAATAGAACACTGAAACAAGCATCCTTTTAAATTGTAAGCTAAAAATTTATCAGATATAAATCCCTACGTTGAATTTGAAGGATTATTGGTAAATATTTGCTTTGATACTCCACTTGTCATCTCTATTTACTTTATTTTTTTGTTTTAGTTGTTGAATAAAGTTTTTTAGTCAAAATAAATGTTCCTAAACTTCGGGAGAATAATAACAGTAAATTAGTTTGCTAGAATCTCAATTAGCTTTTTTGGTTACTGCAAGTATTATAAGTAATTGACCGTGCATATTGAAAATATAATAACTATCACTTTTATTTCGACTCGTATATTCTATCTCTTTCAGAATTTTATTTCCTCTGTTTTGTTTTGCTACCTAATATTATGCTGTAAAACTGCAATTGGTATCATAAGAACTCAACAGTTATTCAGAATGACATCAACCAATATAATTACTATTGAATGATTTAACTTTTTTGCTACACGTACATTACTTTTAAATATGTTTTCTTTAAGCTTGAAAAATTATGTTTAGTTTCTTAACTAAATTATAAAATATTTAGTTCATGTATCATAAAACAACATTGGTGGAAGTTATATTTTAGTCACCTTGGAACTTCCTTTATCATGTGTGAAACCGTCCAAGTATAATTTAGTTTATTGAAAATAACTTTCTTAAAAAATCGGACTAAAAACTATCATGTGTCTTTATTTGGCCAAAGCCTTTGTTGGCGAGCACGGTGTTCGATGCCGTTATCAGTGGAAGAGAACAAGGAAGGTCGAGATAACTATGACAATTACAAGATGGACGAACTTGATCTTCCCTTTCCTTTGATACCTTTTGATTTTTCATTTTTGATTAGTTTTTATTTGAGGATTTATTGTTTTAGTTTTGGAATTAAGATGGGCTCTGTCCTTTAAGGTGTGGTGCCTGTGCATAGGAGGTTAAGAAGGATACAGAAAAAAAAAATAGAAAGTTAAAAGCACGAAGAAGAAGGAGAGAGGAAGAAGAAGGTGAATCGGTTCGCAACATTTACTGATGGATTTTTCCTTTGGTAATTACGGATGGATTTTTCCTTTGGTAATTACCAATAGATATAGATTTTCGTTGGTAAATATTACAGACTACATATTTACCAATGAATTTTGGCTTGCCAAAAAATCTATTGAAAAATATCGTAACCGACATATTGTTTACATTTTCAACGTTATAGAGATTATCCTAGGTTGTAAAGGGTAAGAAAAAGAATGAAAAGGGATAAAGAAATTCAATAACTTGTTGCATATACAATATGTGATATCCTTTCTTTTTAGTGAGTCTTGCTTGTCTTGAAAAACCAAATTCACTTGACAACCTTACTACTTTACAAGCCATAAAAACTCCTTAATGATCCTTGCTTCTTTTGAAGACGTAGTGTTTTCTATCTTCTCCTAGTCAGACTCTTCCACGACTCGATACAACAGTACAAAGTTGTTTTTTCCTTTACTTGCATTTTTCTCAACACATTAGTGCAGGTAAGGGCTTCAACATCGATTATTTTGGAGATTATACTTTGGTTCTCTAATCGAAGCATATTCTTTACTTTTTGCTTTAGTTTTTTATTGAATCGAAGCCTATTTCTTCTATCCCCACTTTCTTAGTATTTTTCACTCAAAACCATCGTAGAGCCACTATGCTCCCCACCAACAAATAAAGTCACCACCACCTTTCTCACCCTTACATTAAAAATACCTACATTAGGAAGAAATAATTATGAAATAGAAAAAAAAAACAAGACGAAAGAACGAACCTTTAGTTTCTTTCGAAATGGGAAGGAAAGGGAGGCTCGTGACGATGTGGCGACACATGTCGCATTGGCTACGATGAAGGGAAGGGAGGAGAGTAGCAGTGAAAGTAGCGACATGGAGGAATGATGCAATGTGAAGGAAAGGGGCATAGTGGCTCTACAATTGAGGAGTAGTGCAGAGACGCAAATGCAAAAGCTATTATGGGAATGTAATTTAACCCTAGTAGATGAATAGGTTTGATTATCTAAAGAACTAACGCTTGTAATTATGTAAATAATTTCAAAAATGTCATTAGTGGAATTTTTGAAAATATTTGCAGAATTATAGCCTTTAGCTCTTTAAATAACTGAAGCCTAAAGTTTTGGAAGTATTTTCAAAAATGCCGTAGATAGCATTTTTTGAAAATATTTACATAACTATAGGCTTCGGTTATTTAAATAACTGAGACATATATCAATATGGGCTTCAACTATTTTAGACCTGAAGCCTATAATTGTACACAAATTTTCAAAAATACCATTGCGTTTTGAAAGACATCATTTTTCTTGAAATCAAAACATATTAGGTGATTTTAAAAGTCTTTTTTGCATTCGTGACACAACAATTTGGGAACCGTTTGTTCTTCAATGTCTGCTAATTTTCAACTACATCCCACAATCCAAGAAGAGCCTTTATCTGTAGACTCCAATTATCATAGTTGATTTTCTTTGTCAACTGAGGTAGGGACACACTATTTGCAAGGATGGCCATCTCCTTTCTTCCTCAAACACTCAAGCTTTCTTTAGCTCTTTTTCCACTCACACACTAAGGCTTTCTAGCTTTGAGTCCAATTTGTTAGCAAAACTAAACCTATATGTGAAAAACTTGTTCACTTCTTTGTATTGCTTTTATTTTTGCTATATTGTGTGTAAACTAGACACTTACAATTTATAGACTTACATCTTGACTTTTCATCTCCAAGGCATAATCTCTACTACTAAAATACAATTATTACATATTATTATCTAATGATCACTACATTAAAAATGAAATGCCGATCTTTGCACTTTGAAACAGACAAAACTCCTAAGCAAATAAACAACCCATCTAATTATATTACATTTAAGTTTACCCTAAGAGTCTTCAATTTTTGAATATCAAAAGATTTCTAACTAGTGTTTGCCAAAACAAATTAACACCCTCACAAGCCTTCAAGAATCGATTGTTTCGGAAGAGGGTTAGCCTTTCAATTTACGAAAATTTGAGATCTTTAATTGTTACTCACACTAGCATCCATCACTCAGTGGGGTACTTAGTTTCTTAAGTTTCTTTCAGAAGTAAAAATTGGAGCAGACGTCTCACAGATGCCTTGGTGGAAAAGCAATTGCTTCCAACTTCTCTTGTGCCATTGTGTCACTGTGCATGAGAGTCATTTCTTGCTTGAATGGTGTGGAACTTAAATATCTCATCTCTCTTTAAAACCTAGAGATTCAAACTGTTTGAACCTTAAGTTGTTGCCACAAAAGGAATTTATCCCTCTTTCTCTTTCAGTAAATAGAATAAATGAATATCCTCTGTTACAAGAGAGCTATGAAAGGAATGGAGGGATGAA